TTTGTAAAGCGTTATACAAACTGCTTTTCAACTTCTGCATAGCTTCATAAGATTTCTTATTGCGATCATATTTTGGTTGCTTCCATGGTGGGCGCTTGCTCCAATATCTGTCGTCATCAATACCATCCATTTGCTTGACTCTAGCAAACAGCTTTTCAAGGTCGCCTTCTGCTGGTTTATTACTATTAGCCAGCTTCCATACAGGATTTCTTGGACTCACAGCACGAATAGCTCGGATGGCAAAACGGTCACTAATCTCTTTCATTCTTATGTTCACCGGCAGGATCTCGGCATCACGCTGCATTGCCTTAATAGGCGCAGACCTGAACGCTCCCAGAATCTTGCGTAATCCAGTGTTCTGAACTTTTTGAATTTCATCTTTCCACTGACCGGTCAGTTTGTGATACCAAACTGGGCTAGCATATTCAAATATCGGTCTCACACATGAAATGTAGAGTTGCTTCATGGTTTGGCAAGATATACCTTTGTATACTCCACCAAGCTTTCCTATGATTCCCATAACTTTTTTGGCTTTAGAAATAACATTTTTTGCGTGTTCTTGGAATTTGAGCTCACAATCAATTGCTACTCCCAGCAACTTCAAACTTTTCTGAGCTTGTCGTTTGCCTAAACCAGCAATCGGTAGTGTAAGTCTTTTAGGGGCTCGTTTTTTCTTTTTCTTAGGTCTCCCACTTTTAGATTTGTATATATGCAGGAATCCTAGCTTATCACCATAATCAAACTCAGTATGGCATTCTTGAGCCCATTCATGACAAATCTGTAACACCCTACTCAATGTTGCCGTATTTTTATCAATGTCCCTACCACCTTTGTAGATGGTGATGTCATCAATAAAACCAACAACATGAGCACCAGTCTCTTTAATCTTACGATACAGAGAACTTGTGTAAATCAAAAACAGAAGCGGAGAGATAGGGGAACCCTGGGGAATGCCTGAGTCCACCCGTCTCGGTTGTGTTACTTTGCCATCAATTATCAGTCTCGTTTTTCTTTTGTTCATAAAATAATGCACCCAGCTTCTGGAGGCCTCTGGGAGACCCATGTCTGACATGGTCTTCAGAAGAACTCCCTTGTGCACATTATCAAATGCGCCCTTGATATCTATAGCAAGTATAGATGTAACGCGATCCCAGTTTTGATTCATTTCAGTGTAGCTTATCAGTTTTGCGAGTGCATCAGTTGTAGAGAAACCATTACGTCCGCCAAACTGTTGCTTCGGTATAATGTCAGCTGTCAACGATGCTAATCTTCTCTGGACCACCTTCTCAAGTACTTTCCCCAGACAATTGAGTAAAGTAATTGGGCGGTAAGACCTCGCAAGTGTTTCAGGTTTATTGGGCTTTCTCAGAATCACAGTTTGACCTTCACGGAAAGCCTTTGGGTGATACCCAATTCTAATACATTCACGGAAAAGATTGGTAATAACTTTTCGGCAACTTCTAACTTTCCAAGCCTTCCTAATTGCAATCGTTTTGATATTGTCTGGACCAGGAGCTTTATAAGGAGCTTGTTGATACAAAGCCTGTTCAATCTCTGAAGCCTTTAGCTTGGGCCATCTAGTATCCTCCGTATAGGATAGAGAAATACCTGATAATCCACTGCTTGGGGCCGGAGGAAACAGTTCTTGAAAAAAGCAATCAACAATCTCAGAGAATTCCTTTGTGGTTGTGCCGTCCTTTCTTGTGAGTTGAGAGACAACCGTGTGCGGCTGTTTCTTTTTCACATAAGGCAGTACGTCCCAGATATTATTAGAGTTTCTGGAACTCAGAAAATCATTCCAACATTTACGCTTTGCTTCACTCATCGCTTTTGCAAACTCTTCACCACATTCCTTAGCTTTGGCTTTTGCCTCGGGGGTTGGGCATTTCTTGGCTTCCCGTTTAGCTTTACGAGATTCCTTTAGTTTGCTTTTAAGTTCATCTGTCCACCATTGTTTGCTACGCCCACACATTTTTATTTCCTTTGTCGATTTCCGAAGACTGTCAGCAATGAGTGTTGTCAAGGATGCTGTCAATTCGTCGACTTTAGCTTTTCCCTTACACCTTTTCGCACTACTCTCCAAGTCCATAGAGCCGTGTGCTATAAGGTCAGAGAAATGGTCCCAATCTGCATGTTTGAAGTTGAAACCGCCACCAAGTGTGTTGAACTCAAGATGAGGTTCCATTCGACCGTCTCTGGCAAAGCCAGTTACGTCTATACTCCAAAACTGTAGATAGTGATCACTACCTATGTCTTCACTTTCCAAAAAATCACAAAGATTAACGTCTTCACTTGCAAAGACTAGATCAATGACTGTTTCACCCTGTACATAAGTAGGGATATCAGGCTCTGAGAAAAGAAAGAACCCGTGATCATCAATCCAATCTATCCATTCTTTTGAAAGAGCTTCCACGGCATTTGGGGCAACCCAGCTTTGCCAACTAGGATGGTGGATGTTGAAATCACCTGCCACCACTCGCGGTGTACGCTCTCTCGTACTAGCTATCCTCATGAAGGTGCTCAAAGGTTTTGTAGTTTCGGCCATTCTGTTGTAAATATTTGTAACTTCGATGTTGTTGATGCTGATTGTCACCATATTTCTGTCAGTTAAACTGCTGACTTTGAGTATCTGCATACGTCCTAAGACCTTTCGCCTCACATAGGTGACGGCTCTAGGTTGTTCATCATCACCTAGATCATCTGCCATAACACGCGCCCAGTTGTTATGTTTTTTATTCTTGAACCAAACCCCAGGTTCTTGAATTAGCAGTAGATCCAAATCCATCTCAAACAATTCGTCTATGAGTTCGCTTTTATTATGACAATTCACTTGGCCCACTTTTAGGAGTTCTTTCGATGTTGTTCCACTATCTAATTTACTGATCATTGTTGTTATTAGATTGGGAGTTTTCGGTATTATCGATTTCCATAACATCAATCGGCTTGTTCACTTCATTAGGTGCGGCTAGTGTCATACGGGGTTTTGACGGTAGCCATTGGCGGGCGCGGCAGTGCTGATTGATTAAGAAGATGCCTTTTCTAAGAATTTCTTTGCTGTGACGTTCATTTCGTACGGCTACTACTAACGAAAAATGGTTTGTTTCGTCACTTTTAAAAGCTTCGGTTTTGATGGCGTGTGGTGGGCAAGCCAATTCAATATTGTTTCGGTTTTCAATTTCTGCTTTAAGGTCCTCGGCATCGATGAGCTCTCCATTTTCAACTAGATCCCATTTACGCACTCCGTCCAAGATGACTTTGTGCCAGGTCTCGTTATCGATGGGGGTTCCGAAGGGCTTAAGCTTTTCTATAGTTTTGTCATTCAAATCTTTGATGTGAAGGGTCAAGTTGCCTTTAGTAGTGAAGTTGACTCCTACAACTATAGAAGGCGAGATCTCTTTGTCGATGATCTTTTTGACTTCACGTTCAGTCTTGTTTTCTTGTTTCATGGCCTCACCTCTCTCACTGAGGGAGAGCGTGACGCAAGGCGCCTTGGCGAAGGGTTTTGGAGTTTCCGGAGCTTTGGGGTAGTTGATTTCATTGATAGTTTTCTTAACGCTATTGAGCTGCTTTTGGACAACTCTGGTATGGTCCATGCCCATCAAGATGGCTTTATTATGTTGCTTTTCAGACGATGTTAGGATTTTCTGTTGTTTGTCTATGGTATCGACTTTTTTGGCCAAGGAAGCTACTTGAGCCCAACTTTGACGGTCCTGTTTTGTGTGCTCAAACTGTTTGAATTTTCTGTCGGTTTCATTTGCCTTGAGAGTAAGAAAGTCTATCATGCTTTCCATCTTGGCGATTCTTTCTTCTGCATGAGATAGCTTTTCGGCCAGTCGACAGTTTTCCTTCATTACTTCGGTGTTTTCCTTGGCTAGATTGTTCATCTCGCTTTTGAGGATTTTGATCTCATCAATCATCTTTTGCATCATGTTTTCATCCGTTTCAAGTCGTCCTCTGACGTCTTTGATCTGGACTTCTTCATCATGAACATCTTCCTTGAGGGCTCTGATTTCAGTATCGACTTCGTCTTCCCTGATATCAGTTGCTTTTCTTTTGTTTTGTCTTTCTTTCCAATGGGCATCGTCATTATTGTCGGTGGCGTTGGATGTGGTGGCAATGATGTCGCCATCAAAAGCCTGGGCCTCAGGGTCCATTACACTTCCATGTTGGCCAATTTCGACGATTCGGGTGTCATTCTGATCGGGAGGATCAGGAGGTTCGATTTGGACGCTGTTGGATCCGGTTACGAGTCCGAGAGTCCCGGTTTCATCGGTGTTATTGTTGTTGTCGGTATTTTGAGGCATTTTTCTATTCTTTTTTGCAAGGCTTTGTCTGATCTCTTGAGATCAAGTTTCGCTTCAGAATGTATCTAATGAGACATATTAGGCTTATTTTCGTAGATTGCTTATTCCATTTTATTTTTCTAGTTTTCCTTTTTTTTATTTTATGCTTTTAATGTCATCCCAAGGCCGTTTTCTATTGTTCTCCAAACAGTTAGTACCACTCCTCCTTACCCTATTATTTATTGATGTTATTCCAAACTTTTTTAGAAATCAATAACAGACACTTTGGCCGAGTTGGTCTAAGGCGTCCGACTCAAGAGTAATCTTCCACTGATTGCAGTGCATTCGGATCTCGTAAGAGGCGTGGGTTCGAATCCCACAGGTGTCA